GCTACATTTAGCAAAATAAAGGTTTCATTGGCCTTTGCAAATTCGGAACTGATCTGTCCTCTCAATCGATGGTACATGTTCACAAGGGGATGAAGAACGCCATTGTAGTCAGGTGATCTATGAGAGTCAGTTCCATCATGTGGCCATTTGATTCGGTAAAATTCCTTGCAATGGCTGCCTATGGCCAGGGCAGGGTCTCCAGAGGCCTGAGATGCCAAGAAGTTTGGTGAGTGGTGCCTTGGTGAAAGCGCAGAAGTCACGTCAGTCAAGCTAAATCTGAATTTCAGCCCACATCTGGCACCACCAAATGAAGCAGGCCCTGGTGGTCATAGTAGATGCGTCTACTTCCATGATAAATGCTGAGTCTCCGAATAGGTGCAGTGGTGAAGGCAATTCTGAGCTGTTTATGGGCTTGTTGGAACTTGGGTGACCAAACGAATGTGGCTGTTATGTGGAGGAGAGCTCGTGTGGGGGTTATTGGCTCTGAGAACCCTGGGCCGAAGCAGCAGTAAAGCGCGTGAAGTCTAGGAAGTGCTGTCTTCTTGAGGACTTCAAACTTTGTCCCATCTATGAATGGCTTCCACTCTATTTGGATCAATCGTAACACCTTCTGGGGAGAGGACGTACCCTAAAACTCTGAGGAGAGTTGGCTGGAGGTACGCTTTTCCAATTCTGTGTTGAGACCATGCTGCCGAAACCTCTCCAGGTTCGGATGTGGTGCACGTGCTGCTCTGGGTTCTCCAAAAAGAGAAGTCTGTCACCTGAATAGATGAGACTGTGTGGATCCACAATGTCCCCAAATACATCACTGATGAAGTGTTGCAAGGTCAGGGGACCGTTAGTTAGCTCAAATGGCATATCAGACAGTTAAAATGTCTATAGTGTGCTTTGAAATCTGTTTTTCATTAGTCCCCTGCCCAAATGAGTGTTAGATTGGAAATCCTCGCAGATGAAGTTTGATGAACAACTTTGCAGATTTCCTGTGCACCAACAATTGTGGGATTCACAGCAGGGGGTAATGGTTCCAAACGATCACTTTTTTCAGGGGCTTATTGTCTAAAGAGAGGCGTAGTAGAGTCCTACATTTCTTCTTCCCAAAAAGGGCCTGGGCACCCGTGGGAAACGCTTATTTGCTCATAAACTCTTAGGACTGTACGCAGGGAGAGCCACTAATTCTGGTTCCAACAATGTGTAAATACTGGTGAAGGCAACTTTCAACCAAGGTTGTAGGTCAATAGGGCAGTCATAGTCCCGGTGCAGAGACAATGAGTCCCCATTTCTTTCAAAGGTATCCATGTAAGCCGGGTATTTATCAGGAATGCCGGGTGTTCGAGTCAAGAAGGGTGGAGTAGGTCCAGGGGCGGAGGCTGGTTAAAGGAACCCTGACATTTTCAGTCATTTCCATTGCACAATTCTAGTAGGGGCATCATCAGGCCAGGCCCATATAGTGAGGCCATGGTTCACACCTGGTGTGATGGGTCCCCTGTTGCATACGGGCCACTTACTTGCAGAGAGCCTGCTTTTCTGCAAAAAGCTGCACCACCTAATGTCACATGCTGCATCTGATAATTAGGCCTAGTGGTTGAAGCGCAGGTTGCAGTGAGGTGCAGGATGGTGCCTAGGCTAAAATCAGAATCAAGGTCCAGGGACACACCAGGGTCATAACCAAGATCAGAGTTCATCGACGAAGCAGAAGCAGAGACAGTGCCTAAGTCCATGCCAGAGGTCATAGCCGGGTAGTCAGAGACCAAAGATCAGCCAAGTCCATGCCAAGCCAAAGTCCAGATACAGGCCGAGGGTCAAAGCTGGGTAGTCAAAGTCTGAGGGGTTGGGGAAGATCAGGAGGAGAAGGCAATACTGGAGCGGGTCAGTGTGGGGCCTGGAGCAGGCCTCAAGAAGGGCAAGGAGAATACGGAACCAGGCTGGGTAGCCAACATCTGGAGCCAAGAAGGGTCACGCCGTAGTCATAACTAGAGACTGGAGCCAAGGGTCAAGCTAGAGTCAATAGCGAGGAACCGGAGGGCAGGGTAGGGTGGTGCGTGCAGGCAGGAACCTGGATGACTTACAGGTTCTCCTAGGCAATGCCCAGCTGGAGCTCTAGAGACCCCTCAGCAGGGGATTCCTTTCCTAGGAATAAAAGAAGGCAAGCAAGATGACAAAGATGTCTCTGACCCTGGGTCCAAGCCAAGGGGAGCTCCCACCCCGGCATTGTGCCAGGACCCCATCACCCTCCTGGTTCATTTCACATTCAGAGACCCCCCCTTGCAGGAGGGAAGAATAAAGGGCAGAAAGCGAAGGTGCCCCTGGGGGAAAGGGACTAGCCTGGGACTCAGTCCAGTTCCCAGATCTATCCCCAGGAGTGTGTGACCAGGAGCACAGATCTTCCTCTGTGTCTCAGACCCCCACCTGTCACATGGGAGGATCCTTCCTTGCCCCAAGGTGCTAGGGGGAGTTTCATTCCTGGCTGGGAAGGGTTCAGATACCAGGTGGGTGGATTGGGCCCCAGGTGGAGGATGGTCAGACATTCACTGTGTCAGGGGTGACATGGGCCATGGGGAGGTCTGAGCAGTGACGGCAGGGGAGGGGCTCCACATCGGGCCACCCCTCCCAGACTGCAGTGGTTACTGAGGATAACCCCTGGCTCTGCGGATGCTCTCATTTCTGAGCCAACCCCACGGCTCTGACAGCCTGATGCTTCCGAAACTGGTCTCTAGGCATGGGGGCAGGGACCATATCTGGTCTGGCCCCAGCTCCAGGGGTCGGGGTGGGACATGGTGGTGAGAGCGAGGTGCTCGGCCTGGGTTTCTCTCAGTGCTATGGGATTTATGTCCACTCCCCCCAGACCTTCTCCCCCAGGCCCAGTGAGAAAGAGCAGTACCTGCGGCAGGGTGTGGGAGCTTCTGGTCATGCGAGGGGGGGGGGCTTCAAAGGTGTCCCACTGCACACAGCCCCTGCAGTGCTTTGGGCACCTGGCGCAAGCACCGGATGTAGAACAGGTGTGCCATTATCGTCGCTGTAACATCCTCCTGCTGCAAGAGAACAAGAATTAGTCAGAGACTCCGACACCCATGGCAACGAAGGGCATTAATGGCAACGGGAACCAGCAGAATTTCCACCCCAGCCCTCCCCACGTCTAAGGGACGGATTCCCCCACCCCCGAGAAGAAATCTTGTCTCCTCTCTAGTGACCTCCAACCCCACTCCCACCATTGTGGAATGAACTCCTGCCCCCATTCCTCTCAGTCCCCCCGTGAGAGCTGTTCTACCTCCCAACCCAGCTGGGGATTCAGCTCCGCTCATCAGAATCCCCTCAGCCACCCTCTCCCCCTCCAGCTGAGGGGCTGGGGGGCTCTGGGCAGTAGTGCTGTGGGGTGAGAGGATGTGAACACCTTTCCCAAGGGATGCCCCTGTTGTTAAGATGACAACATGGACAGTCACTCTGGGGAATGGGGCACTTGAGCAGCCTCTGCTGACTGACTCCTCCAGTTCTCCCAGAGCAGGTGGTGGATAACATGATACCAGAGCACTAGGAACCAGCCTGAGGCCCAGAGGGGTAGGAAAGGCTCACAGAGGTTGCTAGGGGAATTGGCAGCCCCTAGCATGAGCAATGGCAGTGTGTCGTGTTGATGTGATGCCTGTTAGGAAATAGCCTTGCTGGATAGCTGGGTCTGCCCTGCTTTGAGCTGCTCAGGGGACAAGCTGGCACCGGGGTTCATCCTCTCCTTGCTCCCAGGTCAGCGCATGGGGATGGGATGGGATGGGAGTGACTGTCAATGGCCTGGAGGTGAAAGGCCCTGGGGGTCCCTCCCCAATTGATCCTTCTTTGGTTACCTCGTCCCCTATCAGCTGGCAGGCTTCCCCCTGGATGGAATATGTCAGCACCGGCCAGCCTGGCTGACACGGAGCTGGGGGTCGTGTATGGCCAGACGCGCCGCCTGGAGGAAAGTTCTTCTGTGGCCTTCCATAAAGATCTCTCCAAAGACCTAAAACCAACAGCACCTGAGCCCTTGGCAATTGCCCAGAACCAAGCTCCAAATCCCTCTAGTGGGTCACAAGGTGGAGAAGAGTCCTGGGGCAGCCAACCTTTGGGGTCCCGTGGACCAAGGAACCCCCTTCAGTAAGAGGTTTCAGGCACTGAGGAATAGCTCTTTCTGGAGCAGGATTCACTGCAGATGCCATGACATGCTGGGAATGTGTTTGCGCGCTCTGGAACCCAGCTCACACAGACAAGAAAGGATCCCTACTGCTCCCAGCAGCGATATCTCCTGCAGCTTACCCACTAGAGGAAAGGGCCTTTTAGATCTGCTTCCATTCCAGCTCCTCACCCCACTGACATTCCCACGAGTGTCACGGTGCAGTGACTCAGCCTAGGGTAGGAGCTCAGTGTTCCTCACCCAATGCCCAGGGCAGGGGCAGGTTCTGCTCCCTGACTCGCCATGGTGCTGAGCAAACCCCACACCCTGCCTGTGCTTCCACGGGGGCAGGGACTCCAACGAGGATTTGGTCCAGCAATAGCTGGTGTGAGCTTCCCAACTCACTGACTCAGGGGCTCCCCTCTCAGACACCAGGGAGATAGTGAGCGGAGTCAGATCCCTGGAGATACAATCCTTCATTAACTCAACCCACCAGGGGATCCCTTTTATGCCATGTAGACATAAAAAGGAAAACACACAAGCCTGGACCATTAGCAAGGCTCCAACCCAGAGTCCTCGGCTCTTGCAACAGAACACTGTCAGCTGGAAATAAGTCTCATATATCAGGGTTGGAAAGGACCTCAGGAGGTCATCTAGTCCAACCCCCCTGCTCAAAGCAGGACCAATCCCCAGACAGATATTTGCCCCAGATCCCTAAATGGCCCCCTCAAGGATTGAACTCACAACCCTAGGTTTAGCAGGCGAACACTCAAACCACTGAGCTATCCCTCCCCCTCCATAACATGCTCACTGCTGGGGGAGACAGCTCCACACCTGAACTGCTGCAATGCACCGGCAGAGTCCTTACCTCCCCCACCCTGGCCATATTTCTGTAGGCCAGGCGCACGGTGTCTTGGAGCCCGTCCCGACACCACAGATCGCTCACCTCTTAGATGTTCAACCCTGGGGGAGAAAAACACACCCATTGGGGAGGTTTGGCCTCCGGTTTTAGTGCCTGTTTCCTTCTGTTCCCTTTGCTGGGTGAACACTGGCCAGGGTTCTCGTGGTTCCCAATGGACCAGGCAGGTTAGTACCTGAAGGGGGATTTGTCTCATTCATCACAGCAATCATGGGACCCTTACGGCCATTGTGCTCTGGGAGTGGGCACCTATTAATGGTGGCATCTAATACTGAGAACCCCCCCACCCACTGAAGTCAGGATCTGGCCCTAGCTACCCAATTGGTGACATCCTACAAGCTTTGTGTCCTTCCCCTGTGGTCCCTGCCTCTGCCCCTGCCGTCATGATGGGCTCTTTCCCTCCACGTGTCTCAATAGCTCTGTTCCTGTCCCCTCACCAGCTGGCAGCCTCCTGGGTGGGCTGATTTCCCTGGGCTGGGGGACGGAGCCAGACTCTGAGGTAAAGCAGCCAATTTCCCTGGCATGTTCGTCCCCTTCCTCTCTCCCTGAATTAGGGAGGTGAGTGTGAGTCATCATCTAAGCTGGGGTCGGTCTCAGAGGAGGGGGCTTCTTTCTGTAGGGTCCCATGGCCAGCAAGTGGGGGCCCCAAAACAGGGGCCTTGTTACCATTGCAGTCCCTCTGCCCTGCTGCAGTTGGTCTAACAGAAGAGGCCTTAGTTCTATTGGCGTCCCAATGGCCAGCTGGAGCTAGTTGCCAAGGGACTCACTTCTATGGGGTCCCATTGCCCAGCTGGGTTTCTTACCCCTCCTCTGCAGCAGGAGCCTCTGCAGCCAATATATCCCACTTCTGGCTTGCTGGCTGATGTCGTTGGCTGGGTCAGAGATGTACAAACCCAGCTGCAGCACAAAGTTGCCCGCCTTGGGGAAATCGGAGGAGGTCTGGTGGGAGGAGGAGAAGAGGGGAATCCATCAACATTCTCCCTTCAGCTCTCCAGCTCCCCTGGACCAGAGCTATGCTTCCATCCATCTGTAGGAGGCGCTGAGGGAGAGGAACTAGAGCCCTCTTTCTCTCTGATCCCAAAGGAGCTTGGAGCAAAGGGACCAGGGCATGGACCCTCTATGAGCACTCGCTGCCTGGCTGCTCCAGAATAACAAGGGCCCTGAGGCCAGGCACGACCCTGCCAGCTAGTGGCCTATGGAACGCAGTCCCTTATGGACCCAGAGGGGACCACTTAGCCAGGGGATGAGGAACTTGACTCAAGCCCTGACTCTGCAGGATGCTGGGGTCAAAGGTCACTTACGTCAAATCCTGGGAGGGAGGTGGCGAATTGGAGCAGGGCAGTGCTGCTCCGTATGGTTCTAGCTCTCTCCTGGGTGTTTTTGGAGTGGAGCCAGAAATGGACATGCTGCGGGAGAAGGAGGGAGAGGAGGGTCAGCGGGCAGGTGTACGTGCTCTACAAACGAGCCTCCCCCCTCCCCATGGGGCTGAGACCTTGTGCTCAGGGGGGAATAGCTGACTTCTCATGTGGGGGTTCATGACACTGCCCATATCTTGCTGGGCACAAGCTGTCATTGTCTCTCCAGGCTGGGACAATGTTCGGTCTTGGGGCTGGTCTATTTGCTCTGAACCCCTGCTCCATGAATAGCATGTCAGGATCAAGTCACATGCCCTAGACTCCCAGACACCAGCTGCAAAAGCCTTGGTAGGATGGATGGAGTGGCCATGAGGACAATCCCTCCAGGAACTGCAGTGTCACTAGGACAGAAGAGCTGATTCCCTGAGGCTCCTCCTGTATCTCAGGGTCTCCCTAGAAAGGGGCCAGTGACCTTTCTCAGAGGCCCATGTCCTAGATCTCACAGGGGTTTCAGTCTCTCAGTCCCCAGCCAGGCCTGGTGCTCACTGTTAGTGCTTAATGCAACCATGCAGAGCTCTGGCTGACAGTCCCAGCTCCTTCCCTCCCCCGCCCCCATGCCCCGTGAGGCATAAGGGTCCCAACATTGCACTGCACTGACAGCTCTGGGAACGTGTGGCCGCTTGGGTCCAAGCTGGGAGGACACAATGGAAACGTGACTCTTCTAGTCTCTCCTTTGCAGCCCTCTGACGGGGTTAAGGGAAAATTCCGCCCCAGACCGTCCCATTCTACTCACCTCCAAGAGGTGCTGCAGCTTGTCTGTGGTGGGGGTCTCGGTGAGCAGGCACCCGAGCATGGCATCCAGGCTCTGTAAATAGGTATTGTGCAGAGCCTGCAAGAAGAGGGAACACCCATCAGTCATGGGACATGGGGCTACACCAGTCACGGGACCAGGGGGGTTCTCTGGGGAGCCTTGGCCAGACCCAAAAGGCACATCCTGGCCTCTCCCATTCACATCACTCCAGGGACACTTAGCAAGAGTTCATGGCCGGATGCCTGCTGGCTCTTCAATCCTTGCCCTTAGCAGTTCTCTGCGCAGGGCCTGGTACCCAGCAGACTATGGAACAGCCAAACTGCCATGAGTGGGAGGTAGGATCACCGGGAGAGTCCAGGCAGCAGAGCACAGAATGAGGAGAGGGAAGGCTGGGATCAGCCACAGAGGGGTAACACAATCCGCCCTGGAGGGAAGGGGCCCTCCCTGCCAGTTTGTCCCGGGCCTGTTCCCAGCTCTGCTCACCCCTCCCCTATTCTCAGCAGCTCCATCAAACCAAGGGAACAGGGACCAGAGGCAGCTCCTGCTCCTGGGACAGAGAAGTAGGATCATGACCTACCCGTAAGTGGGTGGTATCCTGCCCAGTGCCCATGGTGAAGTTGGTGTAAAGAAGAGCCCGCAGGAGGCGTGATTCCAGCTCCAGGGCAAGCGTCGGCTTCAGTTTGCTGCTGGGAGAGAGGAGCCCGTGTTATCCTTGGCAGCACCGGAGTGGCGCTGGCACTGACATGGACATGACCCCCTCCCCCACAGTGATCCCCTCCCTATGGCCACTCTACTGGAGTGAAATCACCCCCCAGCCAGGAAAGAGGGGATGTTCCCGCCTCCTCTGCTGGGGGATGCAAACAGCCATGGCTGGGGGTAATCTAGGCCAGAGAGGATCTGGGACTCCCGGCTCCAGACCCAATCAGTACCAGGGTTAGGGTAGCTAGATGGGAGGTTCCTGGTACCTGAGGCTGCAAACTGCAGCCATGGAGCTGGAGATGATGGAGGTTGGCTCTGGCACCATGGGCAGATTTTCAATCAGCTCCTGAGAGACCCCAAGAAAATAAAATTGCATGTGAGACTCAGGACCCACAGACCCACAGGCACTTCCCAGGGAGGAGGCCAAAGTGCTCTGCAGAAACAGCCAGTGTGACCCCCACCCCCAACCAGCTGGGCCCCCCATTCCTCCCATCCATCAAACTTCCTTCCCCCTCTCCTCCCCTCCCCTCCGGCCTTACAATTCCCCCACTGCCAGCTCTTGATCGGTGTCAGAAGCTCTCTCTTCCCTGCTCCCCAGCCCTCAGCCCCAGGAAGCCCTGTCCTCTGCTTCCCCCTCTGGCCCCACCAACTCTTCCTCCCATTTCTGGGTCCCTCGCCCCAGGGGCCAGACATGGGGTCCCACTCACCGCAATGCTCTTCACGAGGGCCACTTTGGAGAAGTGGGGCTCCAGAGTGTCCAGCCCC